CAAGAATTTTGTATTTATTTTGGTGTTTAAAATCGTCTTTTCGAACGTGACGAATATATTAATATTCATATATATATATTGATTCTTAGTTAAGGCTTATTTTAGACTTATTAAGCAATTGAAGTTTTCGTTAAGAAACGAGACAAAGATAAAATGAGATGTCTTTATTTGACGCAAATATATTGTAAATAAAATAATAATTTTTTCATTTGTTTGGCTTCTTTGAAAGTGTCACAAAAATATTAACAGATGGTTTAAATACAATTATAAATAAATTGTTTTACATATTAAATATGTATTAAAAATTATTGAAAAATAATATATCAGAATATGCATTAAAGATGGTAAAATAATTTAAGAAGTTGGATAATAATCCACATAAAAATTACGACAAGAAAGGAATTGCGTGATTTTCTTTTTCATTTATTATTCATAAAACATCAGTTTAAAAAGATATAATCAAATGTACTTTTTTAAATGCATTTTTTACGTGAGAAATGATTAATTACTTTTGTTTCTCATAAATAAAGTTTAACAAAAAAAAAAAAAAAAGAAAACGTAAGTCTAATTGATTACGACAAAGTATAAAAATTCAAATCATATTTCCCACAGATATTTTGTTATAATTTAACTGTGAATCAATTATGAACGAAATTATGCGAATTTTGAATGAATTATATTCATCCCTGACACATAAGACAATTTACAAGGAATAAATATATCGATAACTATGAGATTTTTCGCTTTCTTATATTTGGAATATAAAGTGATTTGTAATCATTAAGAACAGTAATTGACACGTTGTATAAAAATTATCAGAACGTACGAAGAAATATATAATCAATAATTTGAATAAAACTTAAAAGTTAAAAATAATAAACTAATACGACAAATTGATCTTTTACAGAATGATCATCCGTTCGACTTTTTTGTTAATGGTATTAATCACGTTCGTAATTGCTGAAGAATCACTGTCTGACAAAAATGTTTCATTCGACAAACGCGCCGCTATGGGATTTCAAGGGAAAAAGAATTCTGCTTCTTTGAACTCTGAAAACTTTGGAATCTTCAAACGTGCACTCATGGGTTTTCAGGTAGAGCATCGAAAATTATAATAAATAAAATGTCGTAAATACTTCTTAAATATTACTTCCCCGAGAATTATTTAATTCTTGTTCCACTACGAATACTTGCTACTTGCCACTTCGATTATTCGACATTGCTCGCAATCTAGTGTATCTTGCGTGCATATCTGCAGGGTGTGCGTGGAAAGAAAAACTCGATAATCAATGACGTCAAAAATGAACTTTTTCCTGGGGACATTAACAAGCGTGCACCGATGGGTTTTCAAGGCATGAGAGGGAAGAAGGCCTCGTTCGACGATGAATATTACAAACGTGCTCCGATGGGATTTCAAGGAATGAGAGGCAAAAAATCTCTTGAAGAGGTAAGGCAAACAGTAAACTTTGAATTTCGAGATCAATCAAGAAACGAGAGGATTTTCGCATAAAGTAAAAAAGAACGTTCTCTTTCTATCTTCGTAACAATTTTCAATAATTTTTCGCAAACGAAAGAAAGAAATTTGAAAACAAAAATTTTTAAAACTGTAAAGTGAGAAGAATTTTTTTTAAAAAAGTTACATCACAAATCTCCGCAAAGTTTTACTTTCCTCTAAATTGAATATAATAATGAAACACTCAACCGAGTAAATGAATAGAAATATTTGTTATTCTTTCTTCATATTATAATGAATTTTACGAATCCACCTTATATGTATAAGTTTTTTTATAACGTGCAGATTTTAGATGAAATTAAAAAGAAGGCTGCTACGAGATTCCAGGATTCAAGAAGCAAAGACGTGTACCTGATTGATTATCCGGAAGATTATGGAAAGAGAGTATTGTCAATGGATGGATATCAAAATATTCCCGATAAGAAGGACGGATTGCTGGGAGAGTGGGAGAAAAGAGCTCCGATGGGATTTTATGGAACGAGGGGTAAAAAAATTATTCTTGATGCGTTGGAGGAACTTGAGAAACGAGGCATTATGGATTTTCACGTGAGTAAATTATTTCACAAAAGGATAAAATACCATTCTTTCCGCTTCCTATCTAAACGAATGACGAATGTATTTATTCAAATTTTGTTTCATTCTATTCTTATTTTATTTTATTTTATTTCATTTATTAGTTATCTTCTATTAAATATTATATAAGATAAACGAGTAGATGCTGCGTGCGTGTGTGTATTCCGTTCATATAATCGTGTTTATATCGAACGAATTTCAAAAGATTTAGGAAAATTTTGCAGGGATTGCAACATAAGAAAGACACGTTCGACGATTACTTAGATTATGCGGTTAATCCGTTTGATTACGAGAAAAGGAGTACGGATTTCCAAGATATAGAAAGCGGTAGCGAATCCTTTAAACGAGCTCGTATGGGTTTCCATGGGATGAGAGGTAAAAGGGATGCGACGGGGATTTACGGATCAAATTCAAGCACTGTGGGAACGATTTTTGGTTATCAAGGTACTTATATAAATCTTGTTATTGTGAAATGTGTTTAAATAAAATATGAACTGTGATATTTCAAACAGATATAAGGAATCGAGGAGATAATATTCCTATATATGAAGTTGAGAAACGATCACCCTTCAGATATCTTGGAGTCCGAGGTAAAAAGAATCCACGATGGGAATTTCGAGGGAAATTTGTAGGAGTGAGAGGCAAGAAATCGTCGACATTGCAAACTGTCTTCTAATTCATTTTAATAACAAAAAAATAAAAAAATAAAAAAAATAAAAAAAAAAACAATCGAAAGGAGTATGAATGAAGATTCGTGAATGTTATTAGGTATTATTAATTTGGTTAATAAATCTCTATTTCTTTATCCTCAAAACAAATTCAAAATAATATTTAGAGATGGTCTTTCTGTCGACATTTCTTTATTTCAGATACCTATATAATTAGAGGTGATACCATTGATGACAACAATGGCAACACAACAATAATAATTATTGCGTAGTTTTCTTGTTTAAACGTGTATTAAACCTTATGCTGCTTGGTAGATATAAGAATAGAAAAAGTGATCCCTATCAGCGAGTTCCTTATTATTATTGCGAATTGCGAACATTATGAGAGATATTTTATATATTTTCCCGAAATATTTTATTTTTAACAGAATATTTGTCAACCACGAACATATAACATATCTCTATTTAATATGTGTTAAAAAAAATATAAGATAAACCTTTTTTTATTAACTTATTTTCATCATTGCTGTTGTATAACATTTCTTTCTTTATACAATATTTCATTTCCTTCTTTCTTTCCATTCATGAAAGTACTATGTCAATTTATAAATTATTTAAAACATATAGACATATTCTTTTATGTAAATATACAAACATAAATATAAAAATAAATAAACAATTATATTATTATATTTTTTTTTAATTATTAAATAAATGATATATATATATATATATATATCTTATTTAGCATCATGATTTAGCCATTTACAACGAGTATGTCGAGTACAATTTCAAATAAAAAAGGGAATTTCATAAATGATTATTTTTGTTTATAAATCATATAATAGATCGCAATAAAAACAAATAAAGTAGAATGTTAATACATTAATGCTTCAAAAACAAAAGAACATATAATTAAATATATTTTACAAAGTTGTGATTATACAATACAATATTTTTATACATTCCACTTTATGCTATTAATATTTTTTTACATATTTCTCAATATTCGTTATACACATTATTCATTATATTTATTTACAAATAGTTTAGAAAATATATAATATGTCGGTTTTAGTGTTTATCTCTGACAAAGACTTATCTATGTTTGTAATTTGTAAATGTGAAACAAGTCTCTGGCAATTTAAGAAAAAGAATAAATGTATATAAAAGTTCTTTAACTTATCTGTTTATTTTAAAGCGTTCAATATTATAATTGCTATAATAATTATTCAAATTTTAAGTATTTATTAACATATCAAAAAGTGATGAAAAAGATACATATATTATTTACTTTTCATCAAATTATATCTATGTATCTATATATAAAAATAAATGTATATAAATAAAAGCAACAAATTGTATTAATAATTTATAATTAATAATTTTATCCATTCATTCTTTAAAATAGAGTAGTAAAGAATTCCATATTGGAAAATCTTAATTCATCGAACATTTCATATGGATTATATTAATTAAATATATATTTATTATATATTATATACAAAATTATATATTATTATTTAAAAATATTCTTTCCATTCTCATCAACTTTTTTTATTAAATATTCACTTTTATTTCTTTATTTTCACTTAAGAAATTAAATAATAAGTTTATTTCTTAACGTAGAAAAGTAAATAATAAAAATATATGTGAATGGAAAAATAAAATAGAAATAGATGAAATTAAATAAGTTTAGTTTTTAATGTAGAAAGATAAACAGAAATATATGTGATAATGTGACGAACTACAAGTATTGAAAAATGTTTCTTTTTTATAATACTATATGATAGAGATACTCTTAAGAATTTTTATATTATATATTATATACTATGTTTTTAGTGTTTTATTTTTTTATATTTTCTTTTCCATTTTCTTTTTTACATTTTAATTCTCTCTTATTATTTCTTTTATATTATAAATTAAACCAAAAATTAAACCGAAAATAAGAATAAAACAAAATTTTTATAAAAATAAATTGTCATTCAATAATATATGTCAAAAAATTAATTTTAAACGAGTTAATTTCAAACATATTTTAGGTTATGAAATTACAATAAAAAATATTAAAATATTTATTATATTAATATACTATTAACAAAATTACTTAACTATTACCTTTAATAATATTAATATTTTAAATTATCCAAATCATCGATTTAAGACGTAAAGAATTTTGTTCAATTTAAAATTAATTAACAATCACAAACATAATAGAACATAAAATTGTGCCTACACATTACGTTTTCCTACAGTTGGCTAGCTTGCGCTGTCCTCTTATGCGCAATGTCGAAAGTAAAACATTTCTAACCTCGATACGTGGATGTCATTTGTAAACATAAATTTTCACTGTGGGTAAGTTATGTTAACATATGATAAATAAAACAAAGATAAATATATTTTTAACAAAAATATTTTATATATTATTTATACATATTAGTTTTAAATTATACAGAAGACAATGATAGAAAAAATAAATACATATTCAATTCGTAAAGAAATTTTGATTAACCATGTATTTATTTATTTTTATACATATTTATATTTATATATTTTACACATATATCTCACTTCACATACTTTGCATTCAGAAATTGTTTGTTTTAAATAATAAAGAAATTTTTTAAAAATCTGTAATCTCAATCTCTTTTATGATAGATTAAGTGAACATATTCTAAATAAAATTTGTATAAAATACAAAAAAACGAATTATTTAAAAAAATTTTATCGTTAGATTTGTCCGATTATATAAAATAATGAGTTTCCAATTATTTATATTCATTCAAAAGAAAAAAATTCTTGTCATTCTTTAAAGAATATGCAGGCACTGTGAAGTATCTATTTCCAAAAATATTCTTATATTTCAAAATTTCTTTTTCCACCCCAAGGATTGAATTTTGTTTTTTTACGTTGTTCGGCTTTTTTTCTCAGGCGTTGATAATGGCCTACAATGACAAATGAAGTTATATTTGATAAGAATTAAAAAAAATGAATTAAAAATAAAAGAATAAATAATTTATAGAGATTAGAAAATCTAAATTACAAACCAATTCTTCTTACCAATTCTTGGTAATTTCATCTTCTATCGTGTATTTTCCTTCGCTTATTCTATTAGATAGACGCAAAGGTATCGAATAAAGAAAAGGATCGCGTTTCCCGATTGAATTCTTATACACAGTAGATAACAAATTTTTCATTTGAACCGCAAGATTTTCTTCATCAATTTTTCCACTATTTCTTTCCAAAATAAATCCATCTTTAAAAATTAAATATTAATATATTTAAATTACAAAGTCTGTAATTAATTTCTTTAATTGAAAAATTTATTTTATATTTATTATTTGAATTTTTAATAAGAATAACCGATACATAATAAGATTTCATTTTGATTCAACTTGATTCGACTTGATTTGCATAATGTGATATTTTAAATATTGTATAAAATTGAATCATAATGATTACAATGAAATTTTGGATTTCAATACTGTATAATCGTTTAAAACAGATATTTAGCATAAAATAATATTATTTAGAATAAATTATTTGAATAAACTAACGTAGCTTGTTTTTTTACCTTTAATAACATCCAAGTTGCGTAAATTATTAGGATTCCTCGAGAATATTAAAAATGATTCTCGATTGTTCGATTTTTCTGTTCTTTTTCCACCCCAACTGTTAAAAGGTATCCAGTGGAATTTTTTCGTATTTGCTGTTTCTTTAAATTCATTCAGAGATACATCGTTCATAATTTTTGTTCGTTTAGTTTGTGAATCAATATCTAATTGAGCACATCTTTTTCCTCGTTTTCCACCCCATCTATCAAATACTCCGCGTCTACGATTAGAGACGTTCGGTTTATAGTTCAATCTTTTGCTTTCCAATAATAAAACCAAGGATTTTTTTCTTGTAAAACTTTTTTAAATCTCTTTGGATAGGAAAAAATTATTGTTGTAGAAATTTAATAAAAATTTAAAACAGATAAATATACTTTAACTCTATTTGGTAACTTACTTTATCTTCTGTAGGTAAATCAAACCACGTTTCTATAATTTCTCCATTTTCTGAAAAAATTTTTACATTTATTCATCTAAATTTACATGTATCATATTATTATGAATTCTGATAAATATTATAAATTAACAAAATTAATATTTATTTTTTTATATTATTATATTATAATATAAAAAAATAATATAAAAAAAAAAGAAGTGGAAAAATAGAAAGAAAAAAAAATAAAAAAATAAATTTTTTAAAGGATCGAAATTATAATAAAATAGGAATTATATTTCACCTGTTAAAAAAATATTTGGATTAATTTCTTTTCCATTTCTTCTTTCTTTGAACGATTCTTTTTTCCATGTTTTCCATGTATCTTTCGAAAGTCTTCCGGTATGAATCTCAGTTGTTATATCGTTATTTTCATTCCCCAGTCCCATTACATCTGCTATAGTAGAATCGTCATTATTTGTATTGGCAACAATCGCACATATCAAAAAAGAAACCATAGAAAGAAGCAGCCACATATCTGTAAAATAAATTAGAATTGAAAAGTAAGTGTTTAAATAATTTATGTACATTAAATATATTATGTATATTATTAATATACATATATATTAATATATATATATATATATATATGTATGCATGCACATATTTACAAAGTTTCACATCTAATATTTTTTCCATTACATTCCAACATTATTCAACAACTTCGTAATTATGAAAATATTTTGGTAGAAAAAAAATAGAATAACAATCAATTTTTTATAAAATATTTCATATTATATAATCCAATACCTAATTTTAATCATGAGATCCACAGACAACTTCATGATTTGAATTAGATAATTTTTTTATGTAATTAAAAATAATATCTATGTATATATATATATAATATATACATAAGAATGTACAATAAATTTAAAAAGATTCATGTATCAAATAAAAATTGGGCATGATATTAAATTCAATTGAATATATTTCATACTCAAATTTCATTTTTTTTAATTAAACTAAAAAAAATTGTATTTGTATATAAGTAAAAATTTTTCTTTAACTCTATTTTGCTATTAATGATCTTGCTTAATGATAATAATATAACTATATCCATATGCATTTTAATTTGGATTTGATTATTACAAATATGCATAGCTATGTTAAAAAATAAATTATAAAATATTGTTTTCATGTAATAAATAGATATTTATTTATTGAAATACTAATAATATTTTACTTTTTGTTAATATTATTTGTATATTGAATTCATCAAATGATTGTTTTTATTGATTGATTGATTTCTTTTTTAAAATTATGGTATATATTGACTATGAAACATATTTCTATGAAATTTTATTGGAAAATTAAGTTGTTTTTCATAAGAACTCGAAAGAAAAGAAAAGCGAAAAAAGAATAAAAAGTAACATAAATACTAAGTATTATATTACATGTGTAATATGAGAATGTAAATCTTTTATGGAGGAGTACAATTTATATAAATATGCTGCAATTTTCTTGGCTAAGAATAATCTGCTAATTGTTTCCTCTTAAAATCGTATTATTGTATACTTGTAAATAGATTATATATGTTGTTCTATCTAACTTGACCATCTTATCTCTCTTATTTTTTTATAGATAGAGAAAAATGTCGAAGGGAAATATTATTTAATTCAAAGATTATAACAATCAAAAAATATAATAATAGCTGAACATACAGTTAATAACATTAATAATATATATAATTATAAAAATTAAAATTATATGAAATCATTAAGAAATTATAAATATTTTTCATTGTATTCTTTATAATAAATAAAAGTTTAAATTATTTCTTTTGTATCTAATTTGTATTATTATTATTAAATCAATTTAATATTCTTATAAATTTCATACTTATATGTTACCAGTTAGGTATAGCATATTATATCTCAAAAAATACAATATTTTTAAAAATTTTATATTGTGTCTGACCAAAAACTTTTTATTAGAAATAATAACGCTTCACATAGGTTTAAATACAAAAAATTAAAAAAATTGGATATATAATATAAATAATAAAATTATGTTCAATTATGTGTCAAAATTAATGTAAAGAAAAATTTATTTTAATATGAAAATGCTGTCTTATAAATTCAACATATGTCAAAATTTTGAAGGATCTTATATAGAAAATCATCTTCTACTTCTCATATAGGAAAAACTAATTTCGAATTTTCCAATTTGAATATTAATCAATATATTAATAAATTTATCTTTTATAATCTTTCGTCTAATACACGTTATTGAGATAAATTATACATATGAATACATTTTTTGTTTTGATTTATTACAATTAATTCTAAAAATTCATTGCGATTCATTCGAATTTAGTAATTGTGAGAAATTTATTTTTGTATAAAATATTAATAAAATATATATAATGATACCATTATTTTTGTAAAATGTTAGAATAGAAAAAAATTAAAATGATTTTAATATGCGATGAGATAAAATTATGTAAAATTGTCTCAAGAAAAAGATACCTTAAAAATAATCATTTTTTTCAAAATGAAATTTTAATTGAGTTATTTCTCAAAACAAACAAAAAGAAAAAAATAATCGAAATCTTTTATTGGAGAAATTTACGGAAACTATTAACCAAATTATAAATTTCGTCTATTTTCTTTCTTAAAAGCGATTATTTAAATTATTTTAATTTATGACAAGATTTATTTCATAACATAGAAATATAAGAGAATATGCGTGTATGTATTTATTAATATTAAATGAAATTATAATATTTAAAAAGAAAGATAAAAAATTATTCATTAATCATTTATGATAGATTTATTGATGATTCGTGCCTTCTTCAGAAAGTAGAAAAATTGGGTTTTCCATATCTCTTTAAAGAAAAAAAAAAACTTCACCTACACAATATTTCTTCAATCGTTTCATCGTTCACATATTAAATATATTTCATATATTTTGTTCCACCGAATATGCATGTATAATGATTAATTTGTTCATAGTGGGAGAATCGGACTTAATTAGAGTGGGAGTCATGCAACTCCTCGAGGAAAAATAGAGAGGTATTAGTTAACCGAATGGGGGGGAAGAAATTGGCCAGGCCTGATTTATGGAAATGAATTGAAATTGAAAGACAATATTTTGAGCACTTATTAAAAATAAATCTTCTCTTCATTAATCTTTTTATCATAGCAGGTATTTCATTATTTATATCACGTAAAAATTTTTTATGAATTTTTATATTCAAAATCACATGAAGGTCATGACACATAAGTTCATTTTGGCTTATTAAATTCGTTTATATAATTATGAAAAAAAATATATAGTCCTACTTAAAAAAAATATCGATAACATTCAAATCTCAAAAAAATTTATTGGATTTATTAACAGATTAGCCTTTCTATATCAACTGATTAACATTTACAGAAAACACGAATTTTCATTAGATTTTAGAATTTCTAAAACAATTTCTAATATTTCACTTGGCTATATCCTATAAAATAAATTTTAATACAGAATGTAATTATATAAAATTTATATAAAATATATAAAATTTCTTTTTGTATTATTTCGATTATATTTTTAAATAATTATAAAAATAATTATAAATAAAACTTTATATATGTTATATTTAAACCATAAAAGATGGAAGAAATATTTAATAAAAATATTATATAGTATACATACACATAGTCGAATGATGCATCGTATGTACATATATATATATACCAAGAGGCGGAAGTAAAAATGCATTTTCGTCAGCATGCATGTTAAAATTGCAAGTTAACGAACGCTTTCAAACCTCTCATCGAAGTACTTTTTTTTCACAAACCATATTTATGTTTGATATCTTATTGAAAAAGATTTTTTCTCTCAAAATATTTATTTTTAAGTTCGAATTTTTTCTCAGCAAATCTTTGTACGAGACACATCAATATTTGAATTATTGTTAAAATATTTTCTCTTCAATTTAATTTAATTCTTATCCATTACACAGTTTCAAATAAAATTTACATAGAAGTATTTATTCTATTTGTACGTGATACAATTGTTATTAATTTTATTTCACAAAACTATAATCTAAATATTTTTCTATTCATATTATATTAATATAACATAAATAATACATAGTATTTTTAATTACAAGCACATAATACACAACAAAATATATAAATATATACAAAAGTAATAATAAATTTTTACAAAAATTGTTTCATTATCATTTTCGATGTTTTAAGCACTAATCTTTCAAAATTTTTTAATAAAGTTTATTCAAATAAAAATATCTTTCCATCACTTATCGTTTAATTAAGTATATTATGCGTTTTTTTATTTATTTAATCTTATAATTTTTAAAACTTATATATTATAACATTGTTGAAAACGATCAATGAATTCACAAAATATCTATTGATTAACTTTGTTTACCTTTTATATAGATACTGTATTTCATTGTTTTGACCGAGATCCCGATGCAAAAACTAATTTTTCACTGAAAAAAACAATGATGAAATTCGAAAAATCGAGACACTACCGTTTCCTCTGTTTTATGTAAATATATGATACGCGCGACACTTACTAAACTCCGGAAAAATAAGATGTACAATGACTGGTAACGATACGCACCGCTCTTCTTATACCCACCACGTGGGGTTCAGCAGCGCACTCTCCGATTGCTTCGAAAGAGCAACCCCCGATTTTTAACTATCATTCTCACTCTCGTTCCTAACTCTGCATTTCCTTACTTTCTCAATATTTTTACTTCTATTTTCAATTATATGAATGATTGTATATTTTTAAAATAAAAAAAGATTTATATATCTATATTTCCTTATTTATATATCAATGTATCAATAAATTTCAACTAATTTTTCTTGCAAATAACTTATTTCCAATTATCTATACCACGTAAATATTGAAAGTGTTTTAAAATAATAATTATCACAAACAATTTGGATTGTTTTTTGATTTATAATATAGTAAAATCTTCATAATCTTTTGTTACTTGAAATAATAAAGAGAATATGAAGGTATTTATATATATTGCTTGTTTGTTAGTAATAATATAATTAGAAAAAAAAATTATAATTTTTTAGTTAATCGATAAAAATTGTTTAATTATTAATTAAAGAAAGAAACTTTTTTTGATTTTTTTTATTGATAGAATTATATAAGTGAGCTTTCAAATGTTGAACTTTTAATTTAGAATTTTAATGCGATATTTCTATGCTATAATTTCAATTCTTTTATTATATCATTGCAGCATTGAATATATGAGAATTTTAAAAAAATATTTAATCTTTCATTTTATGTACAATGTTTATTTTTAATAATATATCGTTAATGTTAATATTAATTTAGAATTAATATATTTATTTGCTGAATGTTTCGTTTCAACAGATTAAAATTATTAAAAAATAGTAACAAAAATTGTGATTAACAAAAAGGAGGATATCGTATTATGCAAACAATTTCTGTCATCAAGAGATTTCAAAGTTAACTTCATTTTTTTAAATAGATTCGTAAAATTTTTAATGTAATCGATTTATCTAGATTTATCTATTAAAAACTATATACCTATCCATATCGAAGAATCATCGATTCTGATAAAAGATGAAATTTGAATTTATATAATATTTACATAATAACTTGATATATATCCATTACAAACACAAAAATCATTTCCAATCATCAATTTTGACAAATTTGAACAATCTTTATAATATGTTATAAAAATGTATAAGAATATTGAATATTGAATATTTTAAAATTGAAACCTCAATATTTGAAAATCACTTATAAAAATCACTTATAAGTTGATAGGAGACAAAGACAGTTTTATTTTAAATTAATAACTAAATAAAGTGCAATTTTTTTAATTATATTATTATTGCAACGAATGTGCTATATTCGATAAAATAAGGAAAGATCGATATTGTTTAATTTGTGAAAATATAAAAAATTTATCTCTTTTCGATAAGATCGATTAAATATTCGATTCGATGGAAAGATGGAACACTGTTAAACTGTTCTCTTTCGTTTTATTTAAAATACCATGACATTTTAAGAATACAATGACAAAGTGAATAAGTGAGAAGGGATAAGAGGTAGCATATGCGCGTATCGGTTAAAAATGCGTTACTTTGTACTCTCAAAAATTATGTCATAAATTCTTGTCCAGAATGATATGTAAATGGCTCAAATTTGATGCTGAATAGATAAGTGTGAAAATGACGAAAATAACAAATCAATCAATTTTTTAATTCTAATCTTATTAATTAAATTGGTGTCCATCATTGTCCATCGATGAAGCTCAAGAATTGGTAATTGAAGAAAAACAGGTTTATCAAAGTTTTATTTTTAATAAATTTATTCGAAAACTGCAAGATTTTTCAACATTAGCAATAATAATTCAAAAAAGCATAAATATTATATTTCAACATAAACAAAATGATTTGCATCGTCATAAAGTGTAGAAGAATTAGATAAACGTGTAAAATTGTGATATTGGACGTTACTTTTCGTAATAGAAATAGTATTATTTAAAGGAAAATAATTTGCTTAAAACGATAATTAAACGAAGAAGGTTGTGCTATTAAGTTCTGCCAGTAGATTTATTCGATCGTTATGTTTCTTCAGAACATTTAACATTTTTTTGTACGTAGGTGTACGTAAGTAAAACTTCTTTGATAATTTTCTCGGAGATGTCATAATTTCATCAATATCTTGAAAATAATCGATAATAAATTTAAAACACTTAAAAGACAATATATTTTCTAATATTTTTTTAAGTCCTTTTAAAATTATTTTTCTACCTTTACTTGTTTTTCATCATTTTTTTGCCAATTTGAAATTATTCGCTATTCTTCGAGTCACTAACAATATTTATTTACAATATTATATAAAATATTAACAATATTTTTTAATATTTTGATCTCTTGATGATTTTGAAATAAAAAGAATCGATTTTTATGCGATTGCAATACGAATAATTCTCCGCGTAATCATTATTGATTTCATCTTAATTTCTTTATGTAAAATAGTTTCTCTATTTTCCAATTTATTTGGCTACGATAATTTCCTTGACATATACATCATTACATACTTTTAATTTAATGTTTCGTTGCAAATTGTCTCTTTCAAGTGCCATATAAGCGCATCTTAATTTATAACAAATCTATAATCTTAATCTAGAATCTTTTAATCGTTGAATTTAAAGTAATATGAACATTTTAAACAATTATCTGATAACTGTGTCAACGTTGTCTGTTTGAATAAGTAGATTACTTCTTGAAACGAAAACTTTTAAAATATGTATATGATACCTCGAAATAGATCTTTCATGTTTTCATTAATATTATATACCATTTTCCAAAATACATACCGATATTCTTCAGTTATATTCGCCTAAAAAGCTTAAACATGGAGGAAACAAAAATTATTTTTTATATCATTGCGAGATAAAAAAAAAAGTAAATTAAAAAGTGAAACTGTATTCTCTTGGGAGGATACAGTTTTCTATACATGCAAAGATTTTTTTTTTCCCTTCATCTCCTTTTTTTTTCTTTTTCATCTCAATCGGTATAATAATGAGTCGGACAAACTTTGAACTTTGTTTGCTTATTGAAATAAAAAAAAAGAAATAACACTAAATTTATGAAGAAACAAGAAAAGAAATGAAAAATTGCAATAAGTCTGCGCAACGTTTAACTTTATTTAATTGTTTAGAATATTTAATTTTTATGATGCAGTAAAGTTTTGTGTAAGATTATTTATGGAAATATTCTTCATCTTTGATTCGTCAATATTCTAAAAATTAGTTTAATATATAATCCTTTTATGTTTAGAAAATATACAGTATATATGTATATATATTCAATAAATTTATATTAATAATAATTAATTAATAAATCATACACAATTACATATAATATATATTAGAAAGGGAGGGAGAGAGAAGAGAGGAGCGAGGGGGGGGAGAGAGAGAGAGAACGATTAATACATATTCGTAAGATATCTTTGAAAAGTCTAAATATTCTAAAGGCCAAAAAACACAAAAATTGCTATATAAAATTATCAGTTGAGGTTTATTTATCAAATTATAAGCAATTAAAATTACCTTATTATTAAATGAAGCAAAATGGAAAAAGAGATAAAAATAGAGTTATCTTGTTTGACTAATTGTAAAGTTCAGCTTTATCATTGTTTTATTTCATTGCATTTCTAATACTTTAATTATTTTTAATAGATAAGCCTCAACTAACATTTTTGTACATCAACTTATATATATTTTGTGCTTGTTCGTTTTTGGCCTGCGAAAAAGAATTGATCTTCTAAAAATTTTCTATAAATATATTAACAGTCATATATATATATATGAAGAATTTATAGAAAAAAAAAAGAATGTCAATTTTAACGAATTTTTTTAATTTAAAATTTTTCTATTTATGCTTTTTATCACTTATGTCGTATTGCAAATTAAAATTTTTCTTGTGTTTTACACCTACGAAATTGAGGTGTAGGACGAAAAAATATAGGATTTCAAAGAAAAATAGTGGAAGGAAGATGTTTCAATCCTCATCAATAGTGTTTGACGGTTATCATTTACGCCGAATACAATATTTTTTGTAATACAAAAAACACTTTAATTAAAATAACTTTTTGTTTTTTAAAAAATATTAGAAATTAATTTCTATTCCTTTTTCAATGGAACTTTTATATACTTGTCATATATATGTAATATATAACTTTCACTTAAAAACGATTAATTAAATCAAAGTCGAAATGTGCGGCAAAAATTTTTAAAAATATACTATCTAGCTATTTTTTACAAATATACTATCAAGAATTTTTGGTGGATATCGAATTAATAATTATATGCATTTTAATAATTATGGCACTTTATAATCTCTTGATTAAAATTCCAAGAAATCTAAATTAAAATATGAATCCATTGAGAATAAAAAGCATACAATCATAAGCATACAAAAATAATATTAATAATTTTATAATGATATTTTATAATTTATTTCAATCTTCTCGAAACTGCACACTATACACTGCACAATAATATTTATTGTCAATACTTATCGATGTTGATTGCGTCTATCATTGCGAATATCATTGATTGCGTGCAAATCTTTAATTCTTATAATAAATAACCAATGTTTTCGATATAATTGAATTTTTAATCTGAGTAATTTTCTAATAATAAAATTCTAAACTTGAAATATAAATCAAAATAAAAAATATTAATTATATAAATATTAATAAATAAATATTAATTATTTTAATTCAGTTTAACAATAACAATAACATTCGAAAAAAAATTTTATTTTAACAACTAAATATCTTTTTATTAATATTATTGATTTAGATATAATAATTAAATAACTGATTGGTATTAAATGTTCTTATAAATTATCAATTTTTATTATTAAATTCTAATAAATTTCCCATTTTTTATCGAGATCTCTTAGTGATGACTGATCGAGTCTAGTCAAATATCTAACAAAAAAGTTTAAAGCAATTAATATTTTATTGTATGATTTTTTTCTCTTTTATATGGTTAAGTGGATATTACATTCATTGTAACTTTCGAACATATAATTTTCACAATAATTTTATTTCTCAAAGTAATATTCACCATATGAAAAAATTTACACTCAAATGTATTCACATTCTAAGAATTCTGTTTAAAAAATAAATTTGAACCTTTTACACCATACTATATAGGACAAATATTTGTATACGCAAGTTTTCGCGTTAAACAGATATATATTATATTATATTATATATATATAACACAACTATAGCAGATATTTCGACGTAACGCTACGAGTCGAACACGAGGAATGAATTCGAAAAGACTATTTCTTCGGTATATATTAGAGAGTGTTCGGTGTTCCACGATGTATCATACAAGTGATTTTGTTATGATCGCGAGATTAGAAAAATTGTATAGGGAATTTACTTTACCACAAATATAACTCAATGTCAATTTACCGGGCTAACCTCAACGCAAACATTCTATCAGTGTACAGTGTTGCTTTCTTCCGCGTTCTTGTTCGTTGCTCGAAAAGTTCTTGTCATCAGGGGAAATTCACGAGCTCGCTATAAACGAAAATATCTCGTAACTTCTCATAAACCTGTTGCTTCATATTTTAACGTATTATCGAACGATTTATGTGCTAAGAATGTACGATGCTTCTATTGGCTTGAAGTAAAACTTGTCGACTATAAAAATATATCAATGTAAAGTATATCATTCATTTGTCGTATTAACAAATATATAGAATATTATAGAATACATTGCTATGTAATACGTGAGATAGTCGATTACAAATTTTCGATTCATGTATTAGTATTTTATTAAATTTTGTATATTATTTTTCATATCTCTTTTAACTCGAAATCATAGTCAAGAGTTATTATTCCTTGCATAACATTCAATGAAAGAAATGCAAATTCAGAAAGGGTTGAATATAATCCACGTTATTTCTGCATGATGAAAGATATGTGCATGTCGTAAAAACGTTATGATGTGAAAAAGAATGTATATTCGTGTTTAATACAATAATACGTTATGTAACCGAGTCACGTAAGAATAAAAGTTAAAAATACAATTGTATTTAATATTTGCTTCGATAATATCTGGACTAAATATTAAAAAGTAAAAAATTAATTTTTTTTTTTACTTACCTACTTAAGAAATAGAATGCTTATAATTGATAAATTCAATTAA